CCCCTATCTACTATCTAGAGAAACCACAGCTAGGGAACGAGCTTGGAGAAATTGACCAATCTGATGAAACTTATGTTATAGAACTCAAATAACTACGAATAATAATACAAAAATAAAATTATTAAAAAACCATAACAGTATAACGTCTTATCTTTCCAAAATTGGCAGACTGTATATCAAAATGTGTAGATCCCCCAAACTTGAGGTGAGGCCCAACGAAGGTCAGTTTATTGGATGATCAATCTCCTGATAAAGTAAAGCTGAAAATCTCCCCCTCAGAGTACCATGAACAGAAGCCTGTGTAAATGTGCTAATAGAACATATAACCTCCAAAGTGGTAACATAGAATTCATAATGAATAATCAAACACAATTGTATTGGCAGAAAAAATAAAAGGTATTTGTAATGAAGTAATAAGTTTCATAACCAGGTAGAAATATAAAATAATTCCACTTCAGAATAACTCAAGAAGTTACAAATATCACTATTGTATAATAAAGAGTAAAGTTGTTGAGAGAAATTAATACAAAGATATGGAAAAAATAAACACTTGAAGAGAGCATCAACTAAACATTACAACACGAATACTGCCAAATGAGAAGTGATAGTTCGGTAGAATCGAATAGAAAGAGTCACATTCGCACTCTAATTGGTGGATGGTTGTTGCATGATGATTTGCATGCAACACACATTGGAATAGTCAGTTCCAGATGGGTGGAAGCATCAAGGCTTGTGGCATGCGCAAAAACTTTTTTTGCATATAGAAGGCAGCACTGAACGAAAATAGCTATACATGTGAGAGGAGGTAATGTACCGTATTGGAATTCTAACTTCAGCACAATTACTATGTTTTATATAAAAGTTTAAACTAGAAATGATATGTACATACAAATACAGTACACTTAACTAAGCACAAAGTCTGGGTTTCTTAGTTAAAACATGAGAGCTCTGAAATTTGAACTTAGAGAACAGATGAGTACCCATTGAAGCAGTGTTCATGTAGCAGAATGCACATCACAGATGATACAATAGAATGTTAATAATTTATAGCTGGATGCAATCACAAAATATTTTGAAGCTTTAAATGTAGAATTAAGCTGCTTCTAGTATAAACATTATTTTAAATAACACAGCTTACTGTGACTAACTGAAAGTATTATTCTAAATCGTGATTAATAACTAACAAACTTAAGAGATTCAAATAAATTGAAATATTACCATTCAAACAAAGCTAATGACAAAAAACGATCATGACTATACCAAGTTAGCTTAAGAGGATAAGCAAATCATCAAGAAAAAAATACTGCCATGCAGAAGCATTTGCATATTGTCACCCCAGTCATCATCTTTAATATTTTCACTTGAGTTGTTCATTAGGTTTTTATCAGTCTCAAAAGCTACAACTTGATTTCAAATTTCATTAAGGTTCATTAACTCAGTGAAGAAGCATTAGCACAAAGTAATTCAGATTCATCAAAAGAGGTCTTTTTTGAGCTTTAAGAGCATATAATTTTATCTGAGTTGACAGTTTTCGAACTAACTGTAACTTGTACCTCTATTAAGTTACAAATATCTCTCCCTAGACAAATACACTCAACCTCATTACCCGAGTTGACAGTTTTGAAACTAACGATAAATTTTACCTCTGTTAAGTTACATATTTCTAGACAAGTACACTAAATCTTGTTGTTTAAGCAGTTTTGAAACTAACTAATTTATACTTCCACTAAGTTACACACTCCCCTTCCCAGAAAGATCTAAGTTTACATCTAAGTTTTGTTTCTCCAGTTCAGAGTAATCTCCAAGTACAGCACCAAATGTACATTCATTAATCGCTTTACATGTCTGAGACATCTCTCTGTAAACAAACATACCAATCACTAAACTATATTTGAATAGCAGTGTGATTACAAAGTAGATGTAATGTTAGACTAGTGTAGTTACTGTGCTCATGTTTATCATAAGAATGTATTGAAAATCAATTTTTAAGTTTATCTAATGTTGTAAGAATTACTGTTCTAGGACTATACTCCACAAAAAAAAAGCACCCAAATATGTCACAAGATTCTACAAGCAGTGCTAGCTGATGATAATCAAAAGTGTGACAAGTCAGAATCTACAAGGACTGTTATATGATGATAACTATTATAATATAATTAAAAGTGTGACAAGTCAAATTCTACAAGCACTGTTATATGACAATAAGCATAAGAATATAACAAAAAGTGTGACAAGTCATATTCTACAAGCACTGTTAACTGACAATAACCATAAGAATATAACCAAAAATTGTCATTAGTTAGTGTCAGCTGCTAATTAGATTGAGATATTCATATATATACATTTTACTTTGTTGATACAGGAGTTTCACTGAAATGTTAGAAAATCTTAATGTTCTGGTCTAGCAGTGTTGTGCCAAGATTAGCTTCTAGTAAGACATATAAAGTCTAGTAATAGCAAGCAAGTAAAACTTCTTTACAACTCAGGTGCACCAAAATGGATGGCAAAAATGGGTAGGGGAGACTGGGGCTAATTGTTACAGGGGCAAGTTGATACAGTGCCTCTAGCTTTTGTTGAGATTAATAGACAGCGATAGTTCACGGACCATCGGACACGTGTTGCGCAAGCTTTGTTTTAATGGCAGCATGAATAAGATCAGTCACGAAATAAAAAAGGTATGTACATTTTCTGTTTTTGCATACCTAAACTAAAAAAAAATGTCTAGGAAATATCTATTTACTCTTTATATACTGTGTTTTGATACTGTTCTTATTAGTTGTAGACTTTGATAGTTAATACCTCTTAATATATGATAACATTGAGTTATGTTGTTTGACGATGAATTAGTATGGAGACATTGTTATACCCCATGTCGATATGTAACAACATGCCCCAAAATTCATCAAAAAGGTGTAATGCACATGAAATATTAATGAATTACATGTTTTTACAGATCAATTGCAATTATGGTTCGCACGTATATTAGAAAGACTGATAGAGGAACTGTGTCATCAAAGGTGTTTGAGTTATTAATCATAATAAGTCATTAAGAAAAACTGCTTCTGATTTTAATGTAAGTATAATTAATTACAGATTAATAATTTAATTTAAAGGTACTGTTCGTGCTCAGGTTTGTTATTATTTTACAAAAAGCAGTAAACAAAACTATCATGATATATAGGCCTATTATAATTCAAATATCAACAAAAAATGTTTATAAATATTTCTGTACAGATAACTTAATATTATAAAATCAAAATTGCGATTTTTAATATAGCCTATTTAACATGTGTGTGCATCTAGATCGGGAGTCCAGAACGTTATCACTGTACTGTTCAGACAGCCACTCGCTAACAAATTATGTCCTGCCCATTTAGCCTACATATAGGCCTAATATAGTGTATTAATAGATATAAAACAATGT